GACACTCCTCAAATTTGGTATCTCTCAAATTTGGCACTCCTCAAATTTGGGATCTCTCAGTATCTGCACTCCTCAAATTTGGGATCTCTCAGAATTTGTACTCCTCAAATTTAGGATCTCTCAGAATTGGCACACCTCAAATTTGGAATCTCTCAGAATTATATAAAATATATATGGATGACTTATTTAAATGGAATTTCTTTTAACTATTTCATTGATCCTCCACTTCTAAATTCATCAAAACCACCCTTAAACTTAAACAAACTATTATAAATGTATAGGGGTGCCTTATCGAAACAGAATTACTTATAATTATTTCATTGATCCTCCACTTCTAAATTTATCAAAACCCTTGAACTCAAACAGAGAAACATATATCTTCGAATTATCCAAATAGAAATTGTCAGTATCGATTTTGCAACACCTGTCTACGTTTCTTTTCCCAGAGAAGACTCCGGTGGAGTTTGCTTTACATAATTGAAGGGATTCCCCTAGGAACGACGATAAACTCGTGTCCCAATGGCGAAGCAAGGAATCGTCTTTGAACGGTCGCCGAGCCGTGAAATCAATTAAACGATCTGTTACGGATAAACTTTCTCTTCCTGCGACTTAATGAATATGTCGGGGACCGACTGATTGAATATTCAAGAATCACGGTGCCGTTCAGACGGGATACTTTATGGTGAATTTGCTCATTAATTAACGTCGTTGGTTGAATTAATTTAATTAGCAAATTCATTGATCAAAGCAGATTCCTTTTATACTCCCATGTTCTTACATTAATTAGAGAAATTCGGTTCCGATGTTCGAGATATTTTGAGGGATTTTCTGATTTTTTGGGTTTGGGAATTTTACGATTTTGCAGGTTTGGAAGTTTTAGGATTTTGGAGGTTTGGGGAGGTCCAGGATTTTAGGGGTGTAGAAATTTATGGATTTTAGGAATTTTGGTAGTTTTGGGATTTTTGGATTTGGGTTTTTTTGGGGATTTTGTAAGTTTGGGAGTTTTAGAATTTAGGAGCTTTGGGGAGGTCCAGGATTTTGGGGGTGTAGAGATTTTTGAAGAGTAGGAACTTTTGTAGTTTACAAATTTTTTGGCTTGGGTTTTTTGGTATTTTGCAAGATGGAAGTTTTAGGACGTTAGGGAGTTTGAGGATTTGTGTTGTTGAGATGTTGGATGTTGAGACTTTTGGATTTTTAGAATTTTGGCAGCGCTAAGATTTTTCAGGTTTGGGGTTTTGGGGCATAGAAGTTCTGGGCGTGTAAGAATTTTTTACCTTTTGGGATATCAAAGATGTTTTACATTTTTAGGCGGTTTAGATTGCTTGGATTTTTGAAATTTTATGAATTTTTTGAAAGGTATTGACATTTTGAGATTTTCGAGGTTCAGAAACCTTAGGATTTGAACATGTAAGAAATTTGTTATAATAAAATTGTAGAATTCAGGCACCTTTGATACTTGAAGTGGAGTTCCGTAACTTCGAAAACTACTGCATTATAAACGATTGGCAGGTTTCCCAGTTTGGGAAGTAGATCACATCAGAATGAAGGTTTGATGAGGTCCACGGACCAATGTCCACAAATTCCCGAAATCCTCTGGAAGGTGTAGCATAGAACTCCCAGTAGCGATCGCTAAAACTTTCAGCGACTCGTTAATCGAGCCAGGACATTAGCGTGACCACCGATTGGACCCGTTGAACAGTGTCGAGAGGCTGTAAATCAGAGCCACCTGTTCGCGGACACCTGTGCACCCTGTTGTCTCGCCCTTTAAATCGTTTAAATCGAGCAGCAGCAGCTAGAGACCGTTGGTGTCTCGTGTTCATGAAGTTCAGCCAGCTGTACTGATAATGTCGCTTAATATTATGTAAATTGTAATTAATATTCATGGGGTTAATTCGCCGGCTGCGCTGAAGTTTTACGGAGAATTTACGATCATACCGGGGAAACATATTTCGGTACGTGGGGTCTTGATCGTCGCCCAGATATAACTACGTACCTGGGCCCCGCGATTCGTCGTAGAAATAAATCGCCAGTCGTAAGGCAACCACCAGAGATTTATCGCTGAATTATGAAGAACGATCTCGCGAGAAATGGATGGGCTCTACCTTCAAGGCGATAAATCGAGCATGGTTTTTGATATTTCGTCGAACGATCCCGACAGGGATTTTCAACTCATCCGCCGGTGTTTGCCGGATCTCACGTACCCGACAGACATTTCCTGCTTGTCGATCGACAGCTTGATACATGCGAAATATACTACGCTTTTGTACAAATGATGCTTTGTCCATTTTTTTGTTCGGACTTTGAGTTATGGCTGTGATGTTTGTGGCAGCTTTTCCTCTTGCTTGATATTTTCGACATTTTTTTTTATTCCGAACACTACTCTCTGTTAATTCTTCTACGTACTTCATTTTTTATTTTGACAACTTTTCGGAAGTAGTATTGTATAATTACTCGGTATCTGATTCTACGGGTAGAACGGATAGCGTGAACGGTAGACGATCAGTTACCGAGATAGGTAGAGTCTAGCCATATTAAAACACTGATTCATTACAGCTAAACTCATGCTGAGACACATAAAAACGATGTATATTAAAGTTTGTGACATGTAGTCTACATTAAGGGACATAAGAAAATTTTTCTTAAAAAATAATGCACAGAATTTAATATCAGTATCAAAGAAGTAATTAAGATTAATTGTAAAGTTAATTGTGAATGTTGTACATAACTAAAGTTTGCCAGTGTAGAATTAAAACTTAATATTAGCGTTAAAGATATAATGAAAATTTAATATTTAACACTAAAACTACCAAACCGGTCAAATGACCGCCCCATAAGTTTCTTATCGTAAGGAACACATTTTGTTAAAATACATTCTTTAAAATCAGCATTGATTTTCATCAAGATAAAGAATAAATGTGTGTACCAATTTACATTTGGTTGTTTTTTTATTTATTTTTCAACTTCATTTTTAATCGTTTGGTTGTTTGTTTATTTATTTTTCAACTTCATTTTCAACTTCTACATTATATGTCGGTAGGTTTAGCGTTAAAGTTCAATGAAAGTCAATATTTCTGAGAATTATAAAAAATTCTGACAACGTAAGAAAGGTGCAACATTCGAATAGTAATTAATTAAATCACCGAATCGCATCGCCATTCGTCTTCATTCCAAACTCGTTACAAAGTTGCCGCGACAAATTAGTCGCGATGCAATTGATTAAACCGTGCAACGTGTCCGGCGTTTCGTATTCGGCGAAATTGCTTTCTTCGCGTCAACGAAAAGTAATTCAGGCAATTTGTTAACAAGAAAGTGCAATAAAGTCCTATTACCCGCGGGGTATCCCGGAATGCGGCTACGTTTCGTTCTTTGCTCTTTGAAGCTCGCGAGCGTCGAAACGGGAATAAAACGCGAATATGTGTTTTCGCTTGTGTGCATTATGTGACGAGAACCCTGTGAAGAATCCTTTTCCTATTTCACATCGTGTCCCAATAGAGAGAAGAATTTTATTTCACGGCGAGATACGGTGTCTCTATGTAACTCAAACTAAATATATACCCTCTGATGATTTAATTAAATAATAACAAAGGAAGAACTCCAATTTTAAACGGAATACCGGCTGCTGCTCCAAATTATCTCGTGTTTTTCGAGATCCTCGAGTGCCACGGATCTCATCGGGGTAAGGGGAATTTGAACGTCTGTGGAAGCTGGGAATCTCGAGTAAAAATGTTGAAACACGCTCTGTTATCGAAGCTGATTCCATTATGTTTCTTATGGTACGGTAAATTTGATTATTACGTGGCTGATTGTGAGACGTAGATAATATTTGGTAACATAAAACTATCGTTAAAACTTGTTGTATCTATTTAAGTGACTGTTTAAATGTTTTATTAATATATTTACATAATGAGTTTTTACTAAATATAGCGGACAAATAGAACATATCATTTGACCTGATAAAAGTGTCATTAAATAGTGTTTATAGCACATCTATTTAAAGATCAATGTTTACAGAAAATGATAATGCTTCACATTTGATACAAAACGGCTATTAAATGTAGCAAACAATAACCGATTTCCCAGTGGAGATAATTTGACATAAAAGTATCATTAAATAACGCTTATGGCACATCAATTTGAAGTTCAATATTTGAACAAAATGGCTGTCTAAACGCTCCATTATCCGGACGCTAATATTCTCACTACAAAATGGCTGATTGCCAGTTGTAACAATAACAGATTTTGACATCTGCAGTGCATCATAATTTACTAACACGTCATTGCAAAATGACATGTATGATATTTAAGACCAAAGATGATTAAATCATGTACTTTCTATCAATTTACAATTATGCAATTTCCAAAGTTACAAATATAAAATAAAAGCTAAAAATACTATGTGTGGTTCACAATAAAAGGCATTGGGGATGTGTACGTATTCTTTAAGAATTAAATATTTAAACTTGATAGGTTGAAGATGATATTGAGACTTCAATAGATTGCCTCTGATTATAAAATATTCAAGAACAGAAAGTAAAATTATACGAAAAATGTAAATGGAGAAGCATTAAATGTGTGTTATATAATTTAATGTAAAATTAATAAAACGTGTCAAAAGTATAATTTTAAATATAAGAATGCTCACACGAATATTATATATTTTTGAACATAACCTAAATTAGCATTCTTCGATTCTTATAACCTAAATTCTTATAACCTTTTTATAATCATAAATTGTAATATGAATTGTCATACATTCTTGAATTAATATACCTTGATCACATATTCCTTCATCACATATTCTCAAAGTATCACAACCTAAATTATCACACATTCAATTTCAATAAACCTATCTCAAATTCTAACCTCAATATCAACCCCATTTTCACCTTTAACATTAAACTACAATAAAATTAAACTACCTTAACATAATAAAATTTATTTAACATTTTGAGCAGAGCTAAAACTCGTCAAGCGTTAATAAAAATATTTGAAAAACTTACCATGGATCGCGGGGATCAGGCAGTGTTCTATGAACAGAAATCAGGTCGCTGACGTACTGATTGAACGCGTTGTTTAGCCATCCATCGTCGACGAGTTTTTTAGTTTCAGCAGTCAAATTTGTCGGCAGAATCACAGGCCTCCCCATTTCACCAGGAGCACTCGAGTCCTGTTCGCGAGGAGCAACGAGTACACCACCGCCTGTGGTAAAAAAAAAAAAATGGAAAAAGAAAAAAAATTATTTCAGTACAACGACTTTCTGAGCCCATTCAAACTTGTTAAATTCGCAAATCTATATAGAACGTATCCCTTGTTACAGAAAAAAATTCCTTCAAAACATTTTCTCCGTTGAAATATTTCCTACGCCATATTACATATCTGCTTCATTATGATATTTTGCGTGTTTCATACATTTTTTAAATTCTCTCGTACTTTTTTATGAATAGTACGCACTTTTAGAATTCTGTTACAGTTTTTTCGTGAACGGAGTACATTTTCAGAATTTTGTTACACTTTTTTTATGAATAGGCTGCATTGCGCTTTGTTACAATTTTTTTGGACAGACTGCATTTTTAGCATTCGGTTATATTTTTTTGTGAATGGGTTATGTTTTTATGGGTATTTGATGTACTGTGTCAATAAAATGTATAATATATACATTCAGGTGTAAATATTACAAAATGATAATGAAAAAAATATTAGGTAAAGATTGTCAATAAAAAGGTCTGTTTGAATGTTTGCAATTTTAAAACAATATAATATCACTTTACTTATTGAATTATTTAATATAATAATCTCTGTAGATTTTACTGAGAGACTCTACATAACCTATAAATATATTGCATTCAATTTTGTTCTCTAAAATTTCTGCAAACAACAATAAAAATTGAAAAGTAATTGTTTTCTATACTTGAATTATTTTGTACAAGAAAATAAATTTGCCAGATTGTAACACAATTTTCATTTTCAATATTCAGACTGATTTCTAAGTCACACAGACAAATTTTCCCTAAACCGTTCACACCTGATAGCAATCGAATTCCCAGTAAAACTTCAAGCAATTCCCTTCGCAAACAAAAATAAACAAGCATAATACTCAAAGAAGGAATTGAATTTTCAGTATCCTCGTATGCAGCCAATGTCCGTTTACTTTTCCAGAGTCTTTTCGCATAAACTGCAGTTTTATTTCCCGTCGCCATATTGGCAAGCCATAGGTAATACCAAGAGGGGTAAGTGGACACGTTACAAAATGGCTGGTTGCCGCGAGTTCACCCACTTTTCTTGGCATGTTGGCTCGCCTTGAAAATAATTTTATCCCGGTCGACGAAGTTGTTCTACGGTACACGTGTGTGTGTGAACGCGATACGGCAATAAAGAGCACGACAAATTGCTTTAGTGCCGACCGGGTCGTTGCGAACTTCGCCGCGGTGAAACTCGGGTCGTGTATCACCCACGCCACCCACTGCTGGCCTTCCTCTTTCGAAATTCTGACTGCACCCTCTGCTATGGTTCAACCATGCATCTTTTTTGACTTAAGAGATCACTATCATCGAGTTACTCGAGGAAAAGGGCTTTTAAGATCTTCATTTTTTACGAATATATTCAAACTTTAAGTCACTGATTTACATTTTGTGGAATAAGTTAAAAGTTGTGATTTTTTAAATGGTTCAGGTTGAATTTGTAAGTTCAGATTAATGTAAATTCGAAGTTTCTGAATTCCTTAATTCAATTCTTTAAATCAGTGAATTTTGTAATTCATAATAGTACTGATTTACTATACTAATAATACTAATTATACTGATTATACTAACTATACTGATTTCATGATTTTTAACTGTTCATGTGTGCATTTATGTTTTTAATTATTTATTTTTGCAAATTCTCATGTTATCAAACTTTCAAATTTTGTAATTTCACAAACTCATAAGTTTATAAATCAGATAATACTCAATATGCAATTCCTACATTATTATGAAAGCCAAAACCCAGATTATAAAATACTTCAGTTTCTAAATTCTTGAATTCCTCAATTCCTAAAACTGCCACATCTTCAGGTTTGCAAACGAGTCTACCTCTAATTTCTCAAGTTTCCCAAGTTTCTCAGATCACTAGCTTCTAACTTTCCAAGTCTAAGTCTCTAAGATTCCAAATACCCAAATTCTTAAACCCAGATCTCTAAGTTCCCAAGTGACCACATCCGAAATTTGCAAATCTATAATAGATCGCTAAGTTTCCCAAATCCTCAAATCCAAATTCCCAAGTCTGGACTGTAAGTTTCCCAAATTCTCAAATTCCAAATCTCCCAGGTTCACAATCTCCCAAGTTCCCAATCTTCCAGGTTCCCAATCTCCCAGGTTCTCAATCTCCTAGGTTCCCAATTTCCCAAGTTCCCAATATCTCAAATTCTAAATCTCTCAAGTTCCCAATCTCCCAAGTTCCCAATATCTCAAATTCTAAATCTCCCAAATCCCAAATCTCCCAAGTTCCCAATCTCCCAAGTTCCCAATCTTCCAAGTTCCCAATCTCCCAAGTTCCCAATCTCCCAAGTTCCCAATCTCCCAAGTTGCCAATCTCCCAAGTTCCCAAATCTCCCAAATCCCAAATCTCCCAAATCCCAAATCTCCCAAATCCCAAATCTCCCAAATCCCAAATCTCCCAAATCCCAAATCTCCCAAATCCCAAATCTCCCAAATCCCAAATCTCCCAAATCCCAAATCTCCCAAATCCCAAATCTCCCAAATCCCAAATCTCCCAAATCCCAAATCTCCCAAATCCCAAATCTCCCAAATCCCAAATCTCCCAAATCCCAAATCTCCCAAATCCCAAATCTCCCAAATCCCAAATCTCCCAATTTCCCAAATTCCCAAATCTAAATCCTTACGTATCCCACCCCCCAATCCCAAACTATCCAAACTTGAAAAACCAACCAAAGATCTCTAAATACTCCTACAATAAATAATCCTTTGAATTACCTTGTTCGGGTCCAGCCTGCACCACCTTGGCCTTCGCCTGCGCACTAAGTGGCGTCTCCTTTCTAAGCGGTGCCGCAACCGGCACGAATCCATTGGCCATCTGAGGCGCCGCGACGCCGGACGGCGCCAAACCCTGAACGGCCGCGTTCGCCCGATCCTCCGTGTAGAGCAAAAAGCACACGGTGATCCACACCGCGGCGGCCACCACGGCCACCTTCAACCACAACGATCTCCTTCTGGGGAAACCCATTTTCGATTGAACGCTAAGGTAACCCTTCTTCTTCACCCGATATTCCCCTTTCGAGCACGGTTCGATTCACGATCGTTCTTCAGCCGGCTCGAGAGATCGCGTTACCTCAGCGACATCCTCTCCTTTCGTCTTGCTACTCCTCTTTCGCCTCCAACTTCCACCAAACTATGTACACCGGTCCCCCTTTTCGCGAGGTACCTCGAAATCCTGAACGAAAGTCGGGGAGAAACGATCCGGTTACGAGACACTGTTGGACAGCTTGCCGATCACGCGAGATCGACATCCGATATGAACTGTTCGGGGACGATGGATCATCGTTGGTCCTGCATTTCAGCTGATTTGCGGAAGATCGATATGTTCAATTGGTCAAAGGGGTAGGTATGGACCGAAGTGATATGGACTGATATGTATTCCTTGGATGGGTTCTTCGAGTATCACCGCATTGGACCTGCAACAGACAAGATTGGTTGGTGAGTTGTAGTGTTGTGAGCTTATTAGACGTCCATTAACCCCCTCCCGTGACATTTATTCAACAGATGCGTCAGGGAAGACTAACTATTCAGGGCTATAACGTTAAAACGAACAAAGAAAATTAAAATGTTGTAAGTATTTTATATTCAGGGATTCTTGATAATGCAACTTATAGTTGGACCTAAATTTCAAGTTGAAGAATGTTCAAAGTTTGAGTAAGGTGTGTCACGTTTGAGCTGTAAGTGCGTCACGAGTGGGACTCGTCAAAGTACGGGAAGGGGTTAAATTGAAACTCTCAATCGAGTTGAAGAAAAACAGGTTTTCAATATAAAACCTCTACTTTATTTACCTTTTACTTAATTAAATAAACTAATTACACTTCGAGTTTTGTTTGGTATCAGTTTTTTAATATGAAAAGGTAAAGTTGTTAAATTGAACTGACTGAGAAGCACTGTTTTGTAGAAATTCATAACGACGTAAACATAGTTTGTCGATGATTAAAATAGTTGACGGAGTAATTAAAGTAGTTTGATCCGAAATAAAGTTGGTGCACGAAAAGTTTCATTACACCGGTTGGTTTATTGACTCGGAAAGTTGTTTATCGGATGTTTTCATTGATAAATCGGGGGACTGCGGGCACAGAAGATTAAATAATTAATTAAACGATTGAAAGTTTATAAACCGAACAGGCGTATCGAATGTTCGAATGCCGCGATAACTTTTCAAGGGAATTTCTAATATAATATTTGCATCGTTACGGGGAAATAATTAATATCGTTTATCGATAACGATCGGATACGTCCGGGGTTTGGTTCTCGCATTGAAATACAACTTCAGAGGATCCGTTTGCAGTAAACAGAAAATTATGATCACTACTGAAATTACAAACGATACATTAATAATTGAATTCATTTAAATATCGGTGGAATGTTTGGATAAGTGAAACGATTAACAAAATGATTATTTGTTGAAATGTTTTGTGAAATATGATAGAAGAGGGAGAGGGTGTTGATATTTGGGGAATTTGGGATTTGGAGAATTTGGGATTTGGGAGATTTGGGATTTGGGAGATTTGGGATTTGGAGATTTGGTTATTTGACAATTTGCACATTTGTGAATTTTGACAATTGAGGATTTCGGTATTTTTGGATTTTGGAGTTTGAGGATTTAGGAATTTGTAAATTGCAGAACTTGAGGATTTCAATATTTGTGCATTTCAGCATTTAAAAGAATTTCATTAAGCGATTAGTATATAACCTCTTAAATAATTTGTAAATTTAGAAACTTGCAAGTCTAAGCATTTGAGAAGTTTCCAACCACAAAATATATTCGCAACCTTCCCTGCGCCTTTAATTTCAACTTATACTCAGAGTCTCGCAAACGTTCGCTTACTTTCAGAAAGTGTAGAAACGTCGTTGAGCGGTAGAAGTACAGAAACAAGCACGTGTTGCGTTTCGGTTGACGTGCATACCGAGCGTAGCTTGGTCTTGCAAATAGTTTACATGCAAACGAGCTAGGCGTGTTCGTACATGTAGAACACGTGTACATTTTAGAGACGCGTCGACTAACTTGGTACATTTCAAGTAAATTTGGAACAGACGTCGGCTGTAGCCCGCGAACGCTTGCTATTTCACTTATTACACGATATTTCCGACCAGTTTTCTCTGGTACCTATTATTATTCACTGAAACCTATATAAATCCATAGAGATTCGAACTTGAGATTTGGGGTGATTGGAATTTGGGTGCTTGAGAATTGGGGAGCTTGGGAATTAGGAAGCATGAGAATTGGAGTGCTTGGGAATTGGGGTGCTTGGAATTTGGGTGCTTGAGAATTGAGAAGCTAGAGGAATTAGGGAGTCTGGAATTTGGGGAATTTAGAAATTCAGAAATATGGGATTTGAAAATTTGAGCCTTGGAAAATTTGAAATTTTTGGAACTAGGGAATTTGGTAATTTGATTATCTAGAAAATCTCTTATATTCCCACCATTCTCAAACAATTTCAACATCCAATAAATTCGCCAGTAAAATAGTATAAAAAAAATAGAATGCACTTGAAGTTGTGAACCGCTGCTAAAGTACCTACTTAAATCGCATCGCATGTCTGCATCGCATTACACTAATTCCTATATTCAACGATTTCTTACACGAATCTGAACAATGTCTACATTTTCACAGAGATCCAAAGTTACTTTAATCACCATAGCAAGTTGCAATTCGAAAACGAATCTGCACAAACTTGCGAATTTCGATAGCGAGCAATGTAGCAAGGATGTACTGTTGAAAGATCAAGTTTCTTATTCACGGAGGTTGATAAAATGTAGTTGAAACACGACCGTGCAGTCGGAACACGATAAGAACTATGAAACTCGATTAATCAGTCGACTAGCGCCGTCAAAAGTTTTATTAATCCAGTTAAAATCTGGCTGATGAAGAAACTTACACTCTAACAAACTTCGAACTTTAATCAATTCAGAAATCACTCATTTTTGCTGCTTACATGATAATGTTAGATTACGCGAACAAGGAAAAATAATAATGGGGGTTGATGGTACACGTATCGGGGGATGTTTGCGGTTGCGTGTACCAAGCTGCATGGAAGATACAGCCATAAATTAACTTACGCGAAGTAATTGAGCAATAGATCATGGCTGGGATTTCATTAAACAAAATAAATCATACGAAATTTCGTTTATGGTGAAACTTTTCGTTTATATAGAAGCACTTTTTGAAACTATTATTTTTAGAGTGGGAAAGGGTAGCAGATGAAGCAGTATAATTCGCGGCGATATAAGAAGTGGAAATATAAGGTGGTATACAATGGAGTATTGTTATGATTGTAAATTTGCAAATTTTTAGATTCACTAATTATCTGATTCTACATCTCTAAATTCCTAAATTTTCAAATTCCTAGATTCCCAAATCCCTACATTCCCCAATTCCTAAATTTTCCAATTCCTTCATCCAAAAATTCCTACGTCTCCAAATTCCCACATCCCCAAATTCCCACATCTTCAAATTCCCACATCCCCAAATTCCCACATTCCTCAATTCCACATTCCCCAATTCCACATTCCCCAATTCTCACATTCCCCAATTCTCACATTCCTCAAATCTCACATTTCCCAACTCCCACATTCCCCAATTCCCACATTCCCCAATTCTCACAACCCCAAATTCCCACATCCCCAAATCCCTACATTCCCGAATTCCCACATCCCCAAATTCTCAAATCCTCCAAATCCCCAATACCCCCAATATTACCTAATTCTCCAAATCCCAAAATAAAAACCTTCCCTTTGAAACCCCCAAGTTTCCAACCTCCCCAAGTTTCCAACCTGCCAAAATAATAGCCTCCATAAATATTTCCCCCAGAATGGCCACACCATGCTTGACATGTTCACGTACTAAACAATACGTGCTAATACTCATTATCGTTGTATCGCGGGTACGACTTGAAATTACATATTGAACCGTTCATTAATAAAGGTAGAGCACGTTCCATGGCCGAAGACAGGAACAACGTAAGCGTGGAACGTGCTAATGGTGTCGGGAGCGGCGAAACATTACGTGAATTGCGAACAGGATAAAAAAGGCGGGGACGAAAGAGGAACGGGCGGTGCGCAATCTTCGTTCGTAATCCGACATTAAAATGCCCACGTTCGGCATTGGAAAATAAAAGATACTAGCTGCACGCGTATTCAACGTGCGCATCGTGTACCGTTACCGAGAGAAGATTACGTTTCATTCGATGCGACCGGCTGCATTCCAAAAATTTCTACGCTATCAATGTTGTTTCCCGTGAAATTTTACTTTCTGTAAGTATGTTCAGTTTCGGAAATCTTTGGGTGGATTATTTTGTTCGTTGTACGCTTTTAGCGGCGATTAGCGATTCGCTTTTTGTGCGGTTTTACTGGGAGTTGAAACGATTATGGTGGATTTTAATGTTATGTAACGGGGAGCAATTTTAATCGGTATATTCGATTATCTTCGTGGATGTTTGAGAGGAAGGATGTTTGGAATATGCTTTTTGTAAGTGTTTGATTATTAGGAATTCATGGTTGGTTGAATTTAAGTTGGAGTTAAAATAATTCTAAAAATGAGCTGTTTGGGAATTCTGAGAGAAACGAGGGATCTGAATTTTAAGGTTATGTAACTGTGAGGTGAGATATTTTAATCTGCCAATTCGATTACCTTTTTAAATATTTGAGAGAAAGAATATTTGTTGGAAGAACACTTTTTGTAACTATTCAATTATTAACAATTCTCTGCTTGATTAAATTTAACTTGGAGTTAAAATAATTCTAAAAATGGCTGCTCTTTAGGAATTCTCAGAGAAACGATGGATGTGAATTTTAAGGTTATGTAACTGTGAGATGAGCAATTTTACTCTGCACATTCAATTATCTTCTTGAATATTTGAAGGAAGCATACTTTTTGTAACTATTTAATTATTAAAAATTCTCTGCTTGATTGAATTTGAGTTGGAGTTAAAATGATTCTAAAAATGGCTGCTGTTTAGAAATTCCGAGAGAAACGATGGATATGAATTTTAAGGTTATGTAACTGTAAGGTAAGATATTTTAATCAGTAAATTTAATTACCTCCTCGAATATTTGAGAGAAAGAAAATTTGGTGCAAGAACACTTTTTGTAACTGTTTAATTATTAACAATTCTCTACTTTAATTTAACTTGCAGTTAAAACAATTTTAAAGATACCTATATTCTGAGAGAAGCGATTATGATGGATCTGAATTTTTAGTGACTGTTATGAAATGATTATGAGGTGATCAATTTTAATCTGCAAATTCATACATCATCTCGTGTATTTTTGAAAGATTCGTTGAAAATGCACTTTTGGTAACTATTAAGTTATCAGCAATTAATTGCTGGTTTAAATTTGACTTCTAAAATCATTCTGATAATGGCTGCTTGATATTCTGCTGGAAACGAAGGGTCTGAATTTTTAAGATGCA